GTTCTGCCCTGGCCTCTGGGGTTCCAGAGCTGCGTGCACGTTTGGGGTTGAGGGGTAGGTGAAGTCAAAGATGGGGCGCTTAAATCAGCGCAAAGAACGCTTCCTTCTGGCTTTGCACGTGAACCGATAACCCCGTATGAACAAAAAAAGTGGTAAAACGTGGTGTCGTCAATTCAGCTGCAAGATGACAAAGCTCTAATTACCATACACAAATCCCCTAGACGTCCATGGCTAGTGGCATGACACCGTGGTTTCTGGTTTCTTCTAGGTCCATCGTCTGAGGTCAGTGGATAATTTATTTGTTGTTGTTCAGGAGTTCAAAGACTATCAATTTAAAGAAAACAAGGTGAGTTACTTCTCATTTTTCAATCAGTTCTGGGTTCTGGAGTGTTGTGGGTTTTTTAATTTAAGACTAGTTTCAGAAAGCATTCTGTTTCACGAACAAGAGGTTTTTATTTTATTTGTGCCATTATCCCAGTTCCTCTTTGCTGGCACATAAAATGGAAACGTGGTTGTCTTGTCCAACATAATTTTTTCAGTTATGTATGTTGCATAGGCAAAATCTAAGATGACAGCAATGCCACGCATGTAGGTCACACTTAGAACAGCACAGCATCACTTCAGTCACTTAATTTAGTGTTAGCTGTTTTTGACACGATAAGTGATGAAATACTTTGGGCCCTGTGACGTAAAGCGCAAATCAGTTATGGCAAAAATTGCACAGAAATTTTGGGTTACATGTTTAGGAAACTAATTCAAGAGACTTAAAAAAGGATAGTTTTTAAAGGGAGGGAATGACTTTAAAGCACAACTTTTTTTTGTCTTTTAAAGGAGGATGCTCTAAAGGATTTGGAAGATTTGGTTAAAAACCTGCCTTGGACCGATCCGTTGAAAGTTTGGGAGCTGAACAACAGCTTAAAAAAGAAAAAGACAAAACGCAAAAAGCCTAGTCTGCAGAGTACTGCAAGCAAAGAGAAGCTGAATGAGGATGGAGAAGAGGAAGGAACAGATCAAACAGACGCCAGTAAACAGGAGGACTGTGCCCAAAACGCTGCAGGGGTAGAACCCGCTAGCAGCCAGGATACGGAAAAGACACAAGGAGTGGCATCCCAAAATGCGGGGGAGGAGGAGGACAATGAACACTCAGATGCTAAAGACGAATTGCAGACGGGTTCTGGGGATGAGCCCATGGCTGGTGATGGTAAGCCAGGTGAAGGAGAGGTGAAGGTGTTGAGGTTCCGTGTTACATGCAATAGAGCAGGAGACAAGCACAGCTTCACGTCCAACGAGGCTGCGAGAGACTTCGGTGGAGCTGTGCAGGAGCACTTCCAGTGGAAAGCTGACATGACTAACTTTGATGTAGAGGTACAGTGTTGTGACTTAGCAATACCTACGTTTCTATTGTAAAAATTCTTAGTTCTTAATTCTGATGCTTAGAGACCTCCAAAATGCCTTCAGAAGATGACTCTGGAAGTAAAAGTTGGTAACACTGAAATCACAGTGGCGGCAGATCCCACCACTTGCTAGTGCTTTGGCTATCCACAATCATACCCTCTTTCATGGCCTGTGTGCACACCCCTCCTCTTCCTCAGGTCCCCCTCTCGCTCTGCAAACACAGTTGTCTTCTCCTCGGGTTAACTGATTAACATCACTAAACCCAGTACAGCCGAGCTGGTGCTCAGACGCCTTTCCCTCTCCCTCAACTACAGCAAAAGCTGTGGTACTGAGTGTTACCCATAGCGTTTGATCTCGTTCATATTTAAATATACTGTAGGTGCCTTCTGCTTTGCATTTACCTTCATTACATCTTTGCTTCATCCACTGTTTTATATCGGTGTGAGTTAACAGAAGATACTCCATCTAGAAGCTGTAGTTCTGTGGTTGAAGGGGACTAAAAGGGTTAACATTAGCTGCCCAGTATTTATTTCTTATCCCAAGGAAAGCAGAGATTTGGAAAGGACGCCCAAGAGACGTGGTTGAGCGATGGTGCGTGACCACTGTTTCGGAGAGGCAGAAAAACTAACTTTTTCTTGCAGGTCTTTTAAGGGCTGGCCCACTGTCCTGTAACGGTATTTTCGCCTTCCAAATTAATATGGTGGAGGGGACCAAGAATATAATTTTTATTGCTGCTTTGCAAATGCTTCACTGTGACTTGCAGGACTTAGCCGACTTCTCCCCCATACTTAAAAAACAAAACCTCTAAAAAGTCAGCGCAATGGTATAGCACTTCTAGAAGTCTTGTGTAAAAGCTGCTGTGTGAATGAGAAAACGTGTGACCGCTCTCCTGGATTTTGCCCACTGTCGCCATTACAAATGGTGCGTTGCTTTTCTTCCAAGAATGCTGTTTTATACGTATTTCCTCTTCTTTTTTAAATTACTGCCTAAGATTCTCATAATTATTTACCAGGTGTACTATGGAAAACTGCTGTTACTCCTGAAATTTAGCACTCAAGTTTTTTTTTAGGTTCTTCTGAATATTCACAACAATGAAGTAGTTGTGGGCATTGCCTTAACTGAAGAGAGTCTGCACAGAAGAAACATTACACATTTTGGACCCACAACTCTTCGTTCAACTCTCGCTTATGGCATGCTTAGGTCAGTGCGTTTGCATAGTTTTATATTACTCTGTTAATGAGTCATTTTGTTTCAGAAATTAGATCCTTTATGCCCCCCCCAGTGCTTCCTCAAAAGCCGTTTCTGTTAATTCTTAAAAAGAAAAAAAAAAAAAAATTGCTGAAGCAGTGTGCTTTGTAATTAGCAGTGGATGCTTTCTAGCTTAGTAAAGTAAACGTTTGCTGTGATCCATTAGCCAGTTTTCAATTTCACATTCTTGAAAGTATTGCACTGTATTGCTGCTTATAAAATGCTAATTAATGAACAGAAAAAATAATGACATAGAAGTTGTTTCGTTAGAAGGGTAGTTCAGTTTTCCTTCCTTACAGAAATTCATGGTTTTAGGACTGTTCTCACCACATCTTTTTTTCTGTTCCTCAGACTCTGTGATCCACAGCCAACAGATATCATAGTTGATCCCATGTGTGGTACGGGTGCAATACCAATAGAGGTGATTCTTCCTTTAGTTTTTAACTTAATAAAACTTGATGGTATCTGCAACTGAATAATATGTGTAAGGTTGTTTTTTTTTTTTGTAATAGCTGAATAGCCAACTCCAAAAGTATCTCATGAACTCTTAAACAGATACAAGTGCATTTTTTCTAAACGACCTCATTTTTCCTCCCAGAGCTGTAGCAGGAAGAAACTGAATCCAAAGTATTTTGAGCTTTTACGATGCTTAACAGCTGTAACAGATACCTGTTACAGAAGTTTAAAATCATTGATGTCCGCTTCCAGTTGCTTTGTTGTATTCTGTCATATCTGAGTAATTCTTCTGCTTGTTTGCTTTGGTGTTTTTTTTAAAAATTAAGCAATGTTGATGCTAATGTTGCTTATTATTTTCCCCCAGGGAGCTACTGAATGGCCTAGCTGCTACCATATTGCTGGTGATAACAACCCACAAGCTGTAAAGAGAGCAGCAAACAACATCTGTTCTTTACTAAAGAAAAAGGAAAATAAAGAAAGGTGAGAAGAGTACAAGTGATTTTCTTTTCCCGTAGTATTGGATGTGAAGAAATGCGTTTTGCACTGCTGCATTTGACTATCTTGTTCATATTTTCCTGTTTATTTTTTTGCTAATGTTATAGCCCTCCTCAATTTAAAAATATTCTCAGAAAACCATGCCTGAGATAAACATCTTTGCACTTGCAGCAGTACTTCCTTGGGCATACCCTTAGACATCATTCAGTGGGACATTTGCAATCTCCCTTTGCGGACTGGTTCTGTGGACGTTATCGTGACAGACATGCCATTTGGAAAGAGGTGAGGTACCACTGGTAAAGTTACTGTGCTTAACTGTTGCTACTGCCGGGGCCTGCCTGCCAGGGGTTAGGGTTCTCTCTACTTAATTACTTAACTGCACCTAATTAAGAAGTATTATTGTCTATATTGAAAATTCAGGTTGAAATCATTAGTAAATGTGGTCCTGAATGAACTAATCCATGTCTGAAAGACCAACAGGAGTTAACTATTTTTCAGTGATCACAAAGGGGATCTTAATTTGCTTTGCAGGATAGGGTCTAAGAAGAAGAACTGGGACCTCTACCCAGCCTGCCTTATGGAGATGGGGCGGATCTGCACACCGGGGACAGGCAGGGCTGTGCTGCTTACACAGGACAAGAAATGCTTTGCCAAGGTACGTTCTGTGAGACAAAATCAAACCCATGAAAATATATTGAGAAAAAAAATTGTTAGCTCACTTCATTGCAGAAGATTATCTATTTTTAGAGCAATAATTAGTAACTTTTAAATGCAGTTTTGGACCTGAAGAGTCATTTGACATTGCCATCAGATGTGATTTAGAATAATCAAAAATCATTTCTAAAGCAAATGTACCCATACTACCTTATCTTGAAGCTGCCACCACTCTTTGGCTGTTTTTTTGGATTGTAGGCCTTGTCACGATTGGGACACATCTGGCGCAAAGGTCAGACCGTGTGGGTGAATGTAGGGGGACTCCATGCTGCAGTGTATCTTCTGAAACGCACCTGGGAAAGAGCAGAAGAAAAGAGGTCATTCTGGTAACCTGTGTGGAAGAAAAGAGACACCTCCAGAACTTGTTGAATAGCAACACCTGAGAGCATAGGTCTGTCAGTTCCTGAGGGGGGATAAACCAAACAACCTATGCAGAAATTGTGTAATATGAGTATTAAAGCAGAGATCAACTTGAGAGCTACCAGTTGTACTATATGTTCTAGAACCTTGTTATTTAAATCACCTCTTTCCTCCCTGTCACCCAAACTGAAATTCAGTAGTGGAATTAGTAATGCTTTCCTTTGAGTCTTCTCTACCATGTCCATTGTATTTTTCAGTTAAATACTTATTTCTTCTGCTTATAGTAGAAAACACATTGAGGCAGCTTTTGGAGGTAACAGTGAATTTATTTCCCAAACTGTAGAAATCATATATGTGTCTTAAAATGACTAACCAGACTACTAAGACTGGCATCTTGAAGGGTTTGGAGGTAGTATCTCTTTTAATGTAGGGATTTTCCCAATTGAAGTTTTCTAATTAATACCATTGCCCAAATGAAAACTAAGATAATAAACCCGTATCTGCTTTTTCTGGTCTGATAAGCAAATGCCAATTAGTCAACAGTATGCTGGTGCTACTGTTTTTCTTAGCTGTTACCTCAACTTAGTGCTAATTATTACTAAATGTCTAATCTACATTTTAATGTACCACTGCTGTGGGGGCAGGGGTAACACACACAGCCTTAGCAAACTGTCTGTAGTTACTATTTGAGAACAGAGATACTTCTAGCAATTATATTAAAAAGTTGAAGTTTTCATTGTCTGCTGTAGACACATTGAGGTGGCGATATCTTTAAATTTATTAGGTGATTTAACTGCTGTAGTTATGCCACAGTATTTACAAAACTGTATTACCTGTTGAATAACTTGAAGTTGCAAATATTTTTTCTTCTGTAAATGTGCTGTGATTTCTCAAGCCTCTTACTCTTTGCTCATCAGAGGCTGAAAACACTAGTTTGCCATTTTCATTGAAGTGTATTAATGCTAAGTGTGTGTAAGTGTTTAGAGGTGAATTAACAAGTATTAAAGTTTTACAAGTTTTGCATAGGAGGTAAGTCTTAATTGTACTCTTTTTCTGGTCTGTGTCCAGTAAAGGATAATGCAGCCCTTTATTTACTACACAGTTGTCTTTCTGGGTAACAATAGTGCCAGGAGCATCCACTTAATTCTTGCCCACAGTGCATGGTTTATGACTGTGCCAAGGTGATGCATGCAGTTGTTGCATGAGGTGGCTATCTAAATACTCCTGTTCTACTGAACTTTACAACTTAACCTGGATACATTACTTAAAATGCATTAACACCTTGGTGGTTTGTTATTGTTGGTACCTTTTTTTTTTTTTTAAAAAGAAGACCAAGCACAGTAACATTTTCCGACCTTATAGCGTGCTTTTTTAACTATTTTTTTTTTCTTGACTTAAAGATCAGTATGAGATTACTATAATGCAAGTCATCATTTTTGGCCTGAAAGATGATAGGGTCATGTTTTATTTTTTTAAAACCACAGCTAACATTAAATAGATTCAAATCAGATTGATGTGACTTGGCAAACTAGGCTTTGACCCACATCAGGAGATGGGACCTAAGATTACTGACCGTTGCAGAGAATTTCTATTTGATTTTCAATACTAGTCACACTAAAATTGTGTCATATTTCATAGGAAACCCTAAGTTTGAAAATGCTGAAGAACTTGGGAACAAGGAGAGAGAGAGAGATATAAATATATATAATTGTACATCTCTGCTCTCTTATAAATGTAAATCTGCTCAGAGTTGTGCAATTTAAAGCAGTTTCTCTTAAAGATTACACTTCTGTGTCAATTAAGACAATTGGCCTCATTTGTCTATAAATGCTGTATAATCCCACAGTGCTGCGCAGAGTTTCTTACAATGAGTATCCGAAATGCGAGCCCCTTTCATGATGTGAATTTACTGCTTTCCTCTCCTAGAGGGAAAGTGGAGGACTTCCTTTGAACAAGGGCTGGGAAGCACACCTCCCCAGTGGTTCTTACACATCCAGCTGTACAAAAAAAAAAAGGTTAGGAAAAAACCTGACAGATGATGGCTTCTCTTCTGTCATTCTCTACTGATTCTCCCTCACAGGCTGCTAGAGGGATAGTACAGAAATTACAACCATGCCTCTCACCTAAGTCTTGTTGCAGAATGTTAAGTATTATAAAAGAAAAAGCTGATGTGTTGAGACAGCCAAGGAAAAGGCACTATTGATACTTGCAGCATTGTAACCTGCCATGACTGTGGTAAAAAATACGCTAAGCTGCTTTCAGGCACGAAAAGCTGTGTTTTGAGGGGTATCTTGAAAAACCAAAGCATCCTCTGAGGAGGTGTACCGATCTTTCCAGAAAGGCTGAAGGCCTTTACAGGTACAGGGGACTTGAAGCACAAACAGCTTTATGTCAGGTTATTTGTTAAAGTCTGCCGGAGCAGCTCCAGCCCTGGCCTTCCCCGCAGGATCGCTGGACAGGCCCATCCCTGTGGGAGAAAGATCAAACCTCTAAGAATTTTCTTCCTATGACTTACGTGGCATGAGCACGTTTCCTTCACTAAAAACAGCCCCTGCCGGTTCAGCTTAGTGATTTATTTTCAAACAGATACACAGACCAGGCTGATTTTTTTCCACAACGCTTCATCAATCAGGCCGGGACAGAAGCTTCACTGCACTGACTCTGCTGTTCCGCACTTTTTCCCCTTCAAATTCGGACTGCGGGCTCACGCCTCTTGACCGTAAAACCCAGCGTACCGATCAAGGCCCGTTAACGCCGCTCTCCAACCCA